GTACAAGAAGGGGCAGAAATCTGGGGGAGTCTTCCACCTCTTCATCAGGACATGAGATATCACAACCTCCTGAAAGAAGTCTCCAGGTCTCAGAAAGCCAAAGCTTGTTCAGCACTTTTCTCTGAAGCCCGGAGCAAACGTCAGTTAGTGCCCCATAGGTTCCAAACCATGGCAAGTAGGTACTTCTTTCCTAGGGTGCTCCTGGACAAGCAACCCAATGCCTCATAGCAAAGGGTTCCTCTCCTTTATAAAATGGGAGTAAGAGCACACATATCACAGAGCCAAAATTTTTATAACTCCTGCAATGACCCCCCTCCCCCGCCCCAGCGGAGCCTGCAGGGAGCAGCCCCACCTGGAGTCAATTACCTCTTCCCGCCCCTTTATGATGGCAACAAAGGAAGGATTTGGTCACTTTCTCAAGAAGTCTGTGGCCTGCTAGGAAAAGAGAGAGATACAGGGCAAAGAAGACCTGTTTGCAGTATGCATCTACATAAATGTAGTTTGTAGGAAGTCAGAATGGGGCTCTGCCTGGTGGTCATTCATGAGGGACAGGCCCAAAGGAAGGACGAGACAGCATCCAAAAGAGGTAGACGGGAAGTTCAAGGGCTCACAAAATGACTTTTCTCCAGCCAGCTGCTTAATCTTCAACCCTCAGGCTATACATATAAAAGGCATATGAAAAATAAATGAATTTTGTGTTTAGATTTCATTCTCAGCCCTGAGATATCCTAATATGTATATGCAAGTTTGTTTCTTTTAAAAATCCCTAACACTTCTGGTCTCAAGCATTTTGGCTAAGAGCCACTCAGTTTATGTCTCTAGCCTACCATCAGCGAGCCGTGCTAATATCTGTTTCCTGCTGCTCTTCTTGCTACCATCAGCTATAGCCTTGGCCTGTACTTGTTGTCCCTAAATTCACGCCAGCGGCTCTGTGCTGTGCAGAGGCTTTGCTTCCACAGAGCAACAGGACCACCTTTGCCTTCCCTGTGCTGGCTGTAGCAGGGCGTCAGGCCGTGTGGAGAGGGAATCCATGCAGCTCCCCCAGGCCATCCCAGCCAAGAGGGGTCCTAGTCAGGAGGAAATGCCAGTGTGGGCAGGGAGTCCTCACCCCAGTCAGCATCATAAAGCATCATAACTCACAGACTCCAGATCCTAAACCTCTGGAACCCCAGGCAACGCTGATGTTTACCCAGAGCGTCTCTCAGCAGCCCTGGGCAAACAGCAATCAGTGCCTCCTCCCGCCAAGCTCCTCCCCTCAGCTCCTCCATCAGCAGCTCCTCCCAGGGGCGAGGGTGTCCCTGGGATCTGTTGCCGGGCAAGGGCAGCAGCTCCTCTGTGTCCGTCTCTCCACGAGGCTTGGAAGTGATAAAGGTAACCTAGTTCGAGTTTCTTTAGCTATATACACATATATCTGGGGGACGAAGCAGAAACACGGTGGAGAGGGAGGGCTGATAGCAGAGAGAGAGCGTTCAAGACATAAGGGGTAAGAGAGAGAGGAATTCCACAGATTTTAAATAGAGGAGCATAAATATTTGAAAATCTGGGGAACTGTACATGTATAGAAAAGGTAGATGGGCTTCCAGTCAGGGAGCAGGAAACACAAGTATTCATTCTCCTGAAACGCCGTGGGGGGAAAGAGCCGCACGTTAAGGACTGAGTGTGCGTGTGCCTCTTCTCTCTCCCTCTCTCTCCCTCCGTCTCTCTCATACACACACACACACACACACACACACACACACACACACACACACGGCTTTGTAACTATATAAAACTATACCAAACAATGACACATCGAGGCAGAAACAGGGAATTGATACCCAAATATATACAGAAATATATTTTCAAATATGTGTATAAATATCAGTCTTTTACACAAATATATGCATCCATCCATTAAGTCACAGGTCTTCGACTTCGTCTTATAGTCCAGGAACAATGCTAGGTTCTGAGAGCGGGACTGTGAACAAGACCGCTTGTCCTCTCCTGGGGTGACAACTGCCCTTGCTGAGACTTGACCCCATTACCACCACTGCCACACACACACACACACACACACACACACACACACACACACACACAGAGCTGCAGCGGGGCTAGGGCTGCTGAGGCAGAGGACTGAGGACTTAGGCTGAGGAAGAGCCACACATGTGTTAGCTGTGAAGGAAGGTAAAGGGTTTGCATCTTCCCGTCGCGTCTCATCACTCAGGCCCTCTGCCAGGGGATAATGCATGAATGAAACGTTACTGAATGAGTGAGTGGGTGAATGAATGGATATCTTGCCAAGCAGCAATGAGGTACATATGGCTTCAGGTTGCCCTGGTCTGGAGACTTCCTTCCATTCCAGGAGGAGAGGAACCCCAAGGTGCAGAGATTTCCAAAGATCAGCAAAAGAAGATGGCGGCCACTCTCCATCTTCCACTGGAAGCTCAGGCCACTGAGCTAGGACACCTTACCTGAGCTTCCTGCTGGCCTGAGCTTCCAGGGTGTGTGTGGGGAGGTGACAAGGGAACCAGTCAGGCTGCAGCTCAGAAGCCAGAATGAACTATGGACTTTGTAACGGTAGGTCTTTCCTTGCCTCTGAAAGAAGGGAGCTTCCTCCTTCTCTGTCCTGGTGTGATCCCACCCCAGGTGATCTTGTCTGCACTTCCACACTCTTCCAGACTTTGGGGGAACTTCTTTGGCTTCAGCAGTGAAAGAAGTAGCTCTTCACTAGTTGGTTCCTGATAAACCTCACCGGATCACCTTTTGGCTCCACCTAATTACTACGAAAAGGGGCACCCTGACCACTGCAGAGTGCAAGTGCAGAGCCAGGCAGAGGACCAGTGTGCTCTCCCAAGGCCACACTGCAGTGCGACAGAGGTTAAATGGGGCCAGGCTGTGCAGACCTGCAGACCTGGCCATGCTGCAGATTCTAACTTCCACTGCCAGGGTCACACTGTGACCTGGCCATGCTGCAGATTCTAACTTCCACTGGGTCACACTGTGGGTTTTCCCCAAAACAGCATCGGGCTGCTCTACACCCAGGAGCATCCCATACCAGCAGAGCCAAGCAACCACGCTCTCTGGGAGCAGGCCTCCATCAAAGCCTCTGAGGAGGTGGTGTCTAAACACTCCTGGCAGAGTCTCTACGAGGTGCAGTTTACAGCACTCCCAAATCGCCCTATGAGAGCAAATGTGGTTTCCCACTAATGAGGCTGTCTACCACCTCTCCCTCCACTGGTCCATGTCCCTCCCGAGGAAAGCCCCTCAGGGCCAGTTTGTGGGGGGACTGAGGTAAAAGCATATGCACCCCAAACTCCTGGTGAAGTCTGCTGTCTCAAGGCCAAGCTGTCCCGGGGCAAGGTCATCTTCCCTGAGCAACCAGCTCACTTTAGAAGGGTAAAAGGGGGCTCAGCTGTGTCATCTCTGTTTGTGACACACACGGTCTGAGTCCCAGCTGGGAGAAGTTTTTTGGGGCCCAGTCCTTTTCACCTCAACCCAGACCTGACACCTTCTTCCTGGGCCCAGCTACTGCATGAACTATAGTCACCTGAAGTCCCCGTGAGTCCTCCCAAGGCTCTTTTCAGGGGTCTCTGGACAGAGGAGGGCAGAAAAATCAACCTGAGGCAAAACACCAGAGAGAGGATCCCAGGTTCTCCGGACAACCTGTCAATGATCTGAAGAAACAATTTATTTATAAATGCATGTAAATATATTTAAAATATAAAGAAGAAAAGGCGTGGCTTTTTTTTTTTTTTTTAAGAGAAAGGCTTTATAAAATGCAGTTGAGGGCTAGGAGGAGAATGCAAGGTGATAACTCAAGTGCAAGGTTGTTTGGGAGCAGTGGGACAGATCTAAACTCTTCTAGAGCAACGGTGGTACAATCTGAGGCTATATGAAAGGCTCTAAAGGGGTGCATTGTGCAGTGTGTGAATTAGATCTCAGCAAGTGCCTTTTTTAAATGAAAAAAGAATACAAATGATGATGCAGAATTTCAAAACCAAATAATGGGAGATCAACACTGGTTAATACATTGTGTATTGTTATCTTCAAAGTGGTGTTCAGAGGATAAGACATGGGCATGAAAAAATGATCAAACAGTCGAACAATGACAGCACAAACTGTTCTTTTTGAGGAATTAATAAAGATTAGTAGTATAGTTATCTATCTTCTGAGTCTCTCTGTGTGTGTGTGTGTATATATATATATATATATATATATACATATAATCTTTTCTTATCCATTCTGCTACCCCAGATGTTTTTTCTTTAGAGCAGTTTGTTTTTCCTTTTCATTTTCACAGTATCTATTGTACATTTTGGATCTTATTTACTGTCAGTTTTTTATACTAGGGAGACAATATGATATTTACACATGCAAATATGATTTATTTCACTTATGAGTATGGTGTCAAGTTGCGTCCATTTATCTATAAAAGCCTCGTGTTTATCCTTCTTGATAGCTGAGTAATACTCCACTGTATAAAAATACCGCATCTTTTTTTATCTGTTTTGCCACTGATGGGCATGGACTGTGGGGAAAAGGAACACTTCTCCATTGTTAGTGGAAGTGGAGACTGGTGCAACCACTGGACGTCAGTGTGGAGAGTCCTTTCAAAACTAGGATTAGAGGTCATGTTTAATCCAGCTATTCCCCTTTTAGGTATCTTCCCAGAAGAATTGAAAACATTATACCATAGTGATGTATGTGCACCCATGTTTATAGCAGCACAATTTGTAATAGCTAGATTTTGGAAGTCTGTTTTTGTTAAGGCTACTGGGGATAGAATGCTCAGCTTTAGGAATGGATAGACTTAGCCTTAGGTCCTCCCTCTTCATTTACTAATTCTTTGGAGAAGACATCAGTCTCCTTGCAATCTCAGATTCTTTACATGAAAATATTTCCCTTTTAGGGTTGTTGAGTCGACTTGAGATACTTTCTAAAGCACTTTGAAATTTCCTGGCACATTGCATGCAGTTATTTTAATAATTTTAATGACAATAATTAACAGCTAAAATTACATGGAGCCTGCTATGAGAAAGCACCATTGTGTGTGAAATTCCTGTTCATATGCAGGGAAAGTGACTATGTGTGGAAGGAAGTGGTCCTGTCGTGCTGAGGGTTTCCTAGGAACTTAGCCGGCTTCAATAAAGAAGGACGTTAGCAAGAGCCTTGGAAGGCACCGAGAGACAGGTCAGTATGATTGACAGCCTTCTAAAAACTTCAACTTCAGAAAGAAACAATAACAAAAAGAGGAGCATACAGGCTTTAACTCCAGAACAAAAGTAATTTTTCTCCAACTTGAAAAATACGGAGGCAAAGAGAGGCCCAGGTTTCTGACAACCACAGGGTGAGTGGGTTGGAGAAATGAGGCACATCTGCACCAAATGTGTATATCCCACCTTAAATTCCATGCTGATGGAACTCAGTGAAGTGTTCTTAACAGAGGAACTAGGCTCTGCGCTTAAAGTCAAGTGGAATTTGGGACCAACAAGGCACCTCATTTCATATTTCTTTCCATTCCTGATGCAGTCAGCCAGCCTGTTTGTGCATACATATTTTTTTTTTTTTTTTTTGTGGTCACTGAGGAGTGACCCAAGATGCTGAGGTCGCTGAGCTACATCCCCGATGCCTTTCTCATTCTCTCTTTTCCTATTTTGAGACAGTATCTCACTAAGTCACTAAATTCCCTGGGGTGGGCCGGAACTCCTGCCTCAGCCTCCCAACATGCTGGGATTATAGGATGCATGCCCACACCTGGCTTCGACTCTTTGTTTATCTCACATGAAGGGGAGAGGAGCTGATCTGCAATATTTCCTATCTCATGAGAAAGCAACAATCGATGTAGAATGTGTATTTTGTTTTGATACCCTCTTTTGTTTAGTCACCTCCCCAACACACAGGCTTTAGAGGAAATGTTTTTAGATTAAAACATCAAACCCACTAATTGCTGTCAAAAACTACATAAATTCTGAGATCTTTATCTGTAAATTAACAAGTCACCCTGGCTCGTTCCCATTTCATTGGTTCTGGCTGAAGTCATTAGACTCATGGATTTGAGACACAGGACAGGTTCTTACAGTGACAGCTGTAACCAGAATCGCGTTGCTTCTGAACTGGTACCTCCAGCCACAGTTCCAGCCAGGCAGTGCAAGAAGGCCCCGAGAGAACCCTGTGTACATAGTGGCTTCTTACAGGCAGGAGCCCTGAGCTCAGGGAAGCTGAATCTCTTATAGCAGACAGTAAGCATGCCTACCGCTTAGGCCAGAGTGTGACCCTGTATCTCACAAAGCTGTGCTCACAGTTCATGTAAACAGTTCAGAACCAATGCAGCCCATGGCTCTGAGACCCACGGAAACTGTCTCCTAGCACTGGAAGTCTGCGTGAGCTTCAGCTCGTCACTTGCACTCTCACAAAGTTCATTTTCCTCTTCTGTAATAAGGGGATAATACCCGCTGGAATGTGGTTGGAAAAATACTTGAAATTTCAATATAGTATTCCCAGTGCGGTTCCTAGCACAAGCAGACATTCAAGGAATATTAATTCTTCCTTTCTTCTCTCTCCTCATCCAACTAAATGGCATTTTAGGTAAGATTTAATTCTGTGGGATTCTAATTCTCTACTTGCCTTAAGGCCCAGTTACAGTAATACTCACAGAAAAGTCTTATATTGCTATTTTGTTTGAAGGTGGCTTCCTGACTGGCGAAGAGGACGTGCCTGTCTTGATCCCATTAACAGAGTACCAAACATGATCAATTTCAGCCCAAAGACTGACCACTAACAACTCAAAACTAAACCCTCCAGCTTAGTGATTCTCAGACTTTACTGCATGTTTAAATCACCTGGGGAGCTTGCTTTTTTAAAAATGCTGTTACTGCATCCAATATCAGCTAAATCATACTCTCCTCGAGTGAGACTCGGCATCAACAATTTACATCCTCTAGGTAAAGTCCGAAGTACAGGGAAGTACTTGGGCTCTGACACTTACTGGGACATCTAGAAGTTTGCATGAGTGACTTTGCAGTGCTTAAACTCTTTCACCTGAGTGTAATTGGTCCGGCTCTGAAAAGGCCATCTGCTTTGGGAGGAGCTGCTGCTGTGAGAGGGGAGAAGAGGAAGGCTTACAGCAGAAACCAGCAAGTGAAGATCTTCAGTGTCCTAACAGAAGACAGGGGAGAGCCTCTGTGTCCTTTGAATTCTACCAGCGCTTGAGAGCAAACCCCATCTACACCTTGGGTGCTCCATTAATGCTTGCAAATGGTCTCCCACTTCCTGGCTGCACCTCCCAAGGATCAAGCATTCTGTCTGCACATTTAGGGTGAAAATAGCCCGTCCTGCCTTGATCCCTGGCAGACTAGATTATAGGATTAACTCTTCGCCTCCTGGCTGGGCTATGGGAATCTTCTTTCTTTAGGTTTAAACAATCAATGATATCGATTTTCACTTTCTTCTCCCACCTCACTTTGGAGCCATTCTCAGGTTCTTAGCAATGTTCAGCCAGCAGGTGAAACTGAGGCCTGGCCCAGCCCAGGTACCCAGGCGGGGGCTCCTTGTCGCCTCCTCTGCGTGTGAGATGCCTCCTTGTCTGCTCAAGCCCTGAGTTTCTTCCTTCTCCTCCTCCTGCTGGTGATAGTGTGGTGGGAGGGGCTTCAGGGACTTTCACTCCAAAGTCAGAATTGGAAATTCAACTTGAGCACTTGTTCAACCCCTTCACTCATAAACGTGCAAATCACCAGGTAATTGGGACACCTGAAGCCACCTGTGCCTAACTGTGTCTAATGCAGGCTGCAGGTAAATTACCTGAAACTCAATGAAACCAGGCTTTTTAGACTGCAGAGAGCCGGCCCAAGCCTTTGTTTCTCAATGGAGGCTGCATTATCCCTGTCGGTGCCCCACAGGAATAAAGGGAGTCACAAATGCTCAGAGAAGCAGAGGGAGCCACATCTGTCCTCACTGAAATCACAGCCACATTGCCCTCAGTCGGGGCTCATTCTGAAAGCAGGTTGGTGCTAGGGCTTTCTGGAGAGCCCAGGCTGCTCCGATGGTGCCCTAGAGCCTGGGTTTTGCTAAAGTTGGGCATGAGTCGGCCGTGCTGTGTAGAGATGGACAGGGAAGTCAAACAGCGGAGGCTTAGGTCACAGCTATTGGAAAGTTCAGGGCAGACTGCAGAAAACAGTCCACTGGGGGAAACTGAGTCATGCCACCCGGTGGCACTCCTTCCTCGCATGGCTGTTGATCTCCTAAGTGTGCAGACAGGAGAGTGGAGCTGGTGGCATGTGGGGCAGAGACCGGGGAGCTTCACTGCCTTCTCTGGCTAAGCTCAGGACATCAAAGTCAGCTGGTGAGGAGCTGCTGACGTTTTAGACCCTCGTCTCTATTTCCACTTTTTCCACCTCTATTTTCTACATTTTAGGGATGATGGCACAAAAACAGGATCTTTGTTCTTTCCCTCGATCTGATCACCTGCTGCTCTCATCTACCCACCTGAAGGCTCCAAGGCCTCCACGGTGACATCACTAGCCTGTCACCATGGAAACGGACAATGAGGTCAGACGGCAGGGGGTTTGATGGTTTCAGGCAGGGAAGAAGGGAGCTGCGATGAGGAGGGCAGGGTTACAGGAATGGGGCCTGAGGAGGATTAGAAAGGGCTGGGGGAGAACAAAGGTGTGGTAGCCAGCCAGTTTCCCACACAGAAGACGGCTGCCCAGTGCAGCACTCAGAGCCCGATTGCCTATTCCAAGCTGCTTGTACTTGTAATTTGTTGGCTCAAAGGTCAAAATGGAGTCCTGAGGAAGACGGATTTCCTAGTGGCTGCTCCTTGGGGACTAAGCTCTCAAAAGCAATCGGCCCAAGTTTCAGCCTGACTTGGCCTTTAAACTCCTACTGGGGGTGGGATGGCTCACAAGGGGTGGGAAGATGAAAACCAGATGCCAATGAAGATGGGGGTTTTGGGGGTGCTTCAGGTCCGCAGGGCTGGGGGGGGGTATTCTGTGGGGGAGACAAGGAGGGTCGGGGGAGCTGATGAAGTCTCAGGAGGCAAGCAAAGAAGACACTTTATAAATTACCAGCTCCCTCTTCAAAATGGAGTTTAACCTCCCGAGCTTTGCTTTGAATTTATTAGTGGTTTCATTTCCTTGGTAATAATTCATTACCTCGTTTCCAGCCTGAGGAGCAGGGTTGGCCCAGAAGGGGAATGTACCTTTGTACCTCAAAATGATGCTTTCCTAGCTGTGTCATCTTCCAGTCACTCACAATCCCAGCCCAGTGCCCGGTGGCATGCCCACATGTCCTGGGGCTGCAAGGGCCCTGGCAGGAGCTGCCCACGGAGGATGGCGAGCCAGCCTGTGGATCTCCTCCCGGTGCTCTCTCGGGTCTAGCTGCTCTGTGCACAGGGCTGTCTTCAGGGCCTCAGCCTCGCTGTTGTGAGGCGAGACAGCTGCAAACTGTTGAGACAGAGCTGTTTTTGCAGGAGCCTAGATAACAGCTGCCGGGAGGGTCCTAGCTAGGGCTGGGGAGCCCCTTGTGTCAGTTTCCCTGGAGGGGAGGGTGTGTAAAAGCTGTTTCAATCTCAGCACCAGGCGAAAGCCTGGCAGATGCCCTTCTAGAGGATGAAAGTCTTTCCAGCTCTGCTGATGAGGAAATGTCCATCCACACGAGCAGGCACTGCTTCGTCCCTGGGAAAACCCTTTCTCCAACCCCTGGCTCCTTGCACATCCCTGGAGAGATCTTATGAAACCCTATCAGTCAGGCTGGAGATGCAGCTTGCATGCTCCCCGTAGCTCGCCAGCACCCACTTCCGAGTGCTTCCCGCCCATCCACATCCCTGTCCCTCCTGTGTTCTCAGAACCAGACTGAGAGGTGAGCAAAGCCAGTGCAGTCCCTACGCCCAGGGCTCAAGTCGTGGGCGTGCTTTTGCCCTCGGTAATGTCAGGGAGCACCTGTGACGTGACAAGGACACAGCACCTCCTTCAGCAGTCTGATTCTGAACACTGCTTGAAGGGCTGGGTGCTCACTCTGTAAAGGTGAGTTTTTCACTTCACCCATAGGGTGCCCTTATCACCCCATTCTCCAGATAGGCATGTTGAGGCCCTCAGATTCTGAGTGACTCTAGCCAGATTATATCTGCCACAGCAGTAGATCCCAAATGCACATTAGAACCACTTGATGCCCAAAGCCAGAGCAACTTCACTAGAAGTTTGGGTAATATCAGGGGTCCAGCGTGTTTGAGAATTGCTACCTGCACCTTGCTACTCAAGGACACGTAGCACCTGTTGGGCACATGTTGGACCTGGGCTCCACTCAGATGTGGTAGATCATAGTCTGCATTTTATCAGGGTCCCCTGGTGACAGTTCGGCCTCTCACCTCAGGTTTATTGAAATCCCCCCAAAGAAGCCACCCTACCCAGTGGTGGCCTCACGGCCTCTTCCTCGTCTCCTCTACTTTGCCCCAGTCTATGTAGGGGTCAAAGTGCAGGGGATAGGAGATAAGTCCTCCCTTTCACCAGGGTCAGCCGCAGAGCTGCTCCAGCTGGACGCTGGGTAGGAAAGGCCCAAGAAGAAGAGGTAGGGACGGGCCGGGGACATAGCTCACGGGCACAGCACCTTCCTGGCAAGCACAAGGTCCTGAGCTCAATTCTTGGTACCAAGAAAAGAGGTAGAGAAGAGAGGTGGCAGCCCTAGGCCCCACAGAAAACCACATGTAAACCAGCTTCGAAGCTGGGGAGAGTCTAGATCGCTCCAGAGATTTAGGAATTGGTAGTACAGTTGCGGTGTGCCACACCCCCAATCGCCCTCCTGGGAACAGTTCCTGCAGTCCAGGCTGGCTCACCCAGGGTCTCCGATCGATCTCCCGTATGGCTGACAGAAAGGCAGAAGAGTGGTGCTTGGTGGCATCCTGTGCCCAGCCACGCAGCTGAAGCACCACTGTCTGCCCTCATTTACTTGTGGCAGCAGCTGGCACTGGTCTAGGATGCTCCTGCATTTAAGTCTGATTTGTCAGAATCATAGTATGTGTCAAGGACTTCATGGGAAGCATTTCCTTCGGGTTGGCGCTGTGCTTCTGTTAATGGGCAACACCTGTTCCCGGCTGGCTGCCTGGAGGAAGGGCAGAGCAGGGGGAGGCGGGGAAGTGGCCCAATTGTGCAGCTGGCACGGGAGTCACCTCCACTGAGGAGAATCCTGAGTCCCAGGGAGAGCCCAGGCCTGAGGCCTTGTGTCTTCCCTGTGGCCCTCGGCAGTCTCAGGGCAGGAGCTGCGGGTGGAGATTCTGTCCCCAGGCCTCCTAGTTCCACATCTATGTAAATTCCATTTCTCTTCTCAGCCCAGGACATCCCCTCCTCCCCTTCAGATTCCTTCTGCCACTGTTTCTATCGCCAAACCAGGCTTAGAAAGCAATGAGAAGATGCAGCCCGGCAGCTGCCACCCAGAGGTCAGAGGTCAGGCTCCGAACACAAATCGGATGACTTCTGGAGAAGCGCACAGCTTCTCTAACCTTAGGTAACTTCATATGTCAAAGAAACGGAAGCACGCGGCCCCCTTGACTGCACTGTGATGAAAATGAAATGAACTCTACGAACATTCCTAACACCGCGGCTGGCACACTGCAGATACTAAAATATATGTGCACTGATAGATTTGTGCCAATAAAATCTGAGCATTTAATAGAGTGCTGTGGTTCTCAAAGTGTGGTCTGCGGCCCAGCAGCGTCACCGGAGACTTGCTGTAAATGCAAACTCTCAGGCCCTGCTCCAGCGACTCTGGGTGGGCCCCCATCTGCATTATGTCAGCCTCCCGGTGACTCTTCTGCATGCTTAGTGGTGTGACACCAAGTGCTACGCATAATAAGGCACTGGGCACGCTGGGCTGCCTCCAGACTCACACTGATCTGGAGGGGAAGCCATGCAGGATAAACAATGGCCAACACAGCACAAGCAATGAAAAGAGCACCTTGCACTTACATGACCTATGTCCTGGGGCCAGGTAAAAGGCAAGCTTCCACGAACCCCCTTATTTAACCCAACACCTTCAGTGTGAGGCACCATCCCCATTTTATGGAGGTGGAAACGGAGGCACACAGAGATCAACAGATGTGCCCAAGCTGGTGGTATCTGAAGGCTCCCGGGAGGAAAGTGCTGCTTCTGCATTCTGTGTGTGTAGAAGATGTGGGAGGAAGCCAGGGTGGGGAGCTGTCCTGAACAGGATGGAACGGGGAGACTAGAGGAGAGTCCTGACTGCCCTGCTACACTGATCCCACAGTCCCTTTCCTGTGCTGCCTGTCTTTGTGCCCTGGTGAACCCAGGTGTTTCAGCCACACACATCTGTCAGGCAGACGTGCCCAGGGCTTGCTTTGCTACAGCAGCAGCTTCCACCCCGGAGGTGGACAGCTGGGACCCAGGAAGCGGAAGGCTGGAGCCGGTGGAGGGAGAAAGTGTTTGTTGGGGAACATTCTAAGCTCACGCTTCGTGGTCCCAGGCTCTCAGTGCTTCCACCCGAAGCGCAAGTGAGTGAGGCACTGTGCTAGTATTCATCCGCTCTCTGTACCGCTCTGTACCAGGCCGTTAGCTCCGTGAGGCAAAACCTGTATCCACTGCAACACGCAGAATCCCTAACGTGGTACCTGGCAAGCAGTGCACAAGGGATATCTGTTGAATGAATCAATGAATGAGTGAATGAGTGAATGAACAAGGAAGAAGTTCTGGCACGCTCACCCCTCCTCAGCCCTGTGATTATTCGTTGTCACAGCTGTTGCCCCAGGGCCCCCAGAATCTTGTTCATCTCTGCGCTTATCCTTAGAACAATGAGTGGCTTTATGTGTTTTTGCTGAGTTGAACCCAGT